TGGAGATAAATACATGTTTCAGTACCATTTAAGGACAAACCTGAACTTACACTAAGATTATTTCTAAAGGCCTAATATCTTTAATAACCCCCATTATACTCTCAAATATATTTGTTAGAAAAGACAGACAAATGCTATGTTTCCCAATGTTCTGAGAATATCATATTGTTTATGCCATTCTAATGTACATCAAGGTTTATTATCCTCCCAGTTTTTATGACCTGAGATGTTCATAAGCAATGGAAGGTTTCTTTGAATGTTAAAGTATTGCCAACCACAGAAAACTACTGCTACTAAGTTACGGTACTACTCAAGGTTAATGATCAAACTCCAACCTGGAATAAACAGCCACCCACAAATAAGACTCTAAAAGACCTTTAGACTAGAATTTAAATACAAGAGAATAATACTAAAGTAGTGTTCATACTTTCAGTGATGAAACCACGAGTAAAAACGTAAACGGAAGTATACATTGGAGAATTTTTTACTAAAATACTCTCTAAAATTTACAGTCCTTTGTCACAGAAGTCTTCAAAGGATCAGGCCACAAAAAAATACCTCATGGTACATTAGGCATGATCTTCTTATGTATGCCAAACAAATCATTAAAGATCCTTAAAGTTCCCAAAGGCATGATTTTTACACTTGATGGTCATTTAATTGAACTCTCATGACTCTACTGACTAATGTGTGACCACTCAGTCTGATAGGAGTTAATGATTCACTCTGTTCTCATTCCCATGGATGAAAAATCTCAAAAGCGATGGAGAGGGAAGGAGAATAAAATGTGCATATAATTTGATGTACTTCCACCCTATGAGACTCAAATATTCCTTATGGATCTAAGAGTTGATCATTTTGCACAAGAGTGGCTTTTTTTTCTATCAGCCTGTGATTGTTAAATTTCTAGCTATGAAACTAGAGCACAGATTTTTTTGTCTTTTTTACTATAATCCACCTTTCAGGGAAACATCACGTAAGTTTTGATCAATTACATAATATGACATTATGACATGTATAATATTTGAAAGCACATATAATTTCAAAAATTGCCTTATGGACTGCATTGTTATTTGAAAAGGTTTCTTTTAAAATTATGGATGTGGTCTTGTAGTAAGTTTTTGACTAGTAGAAATAAATTTCTTCTAGTAATAAAAGGTGTGGACTGAGTGGAAGGGGTCAGAGACTTATAAACATGGACAGTCAATAATGCACATTGTATATACATCAGGAAAAGTGCTGTTTCAATCCCCACAATCTATACTCACCCAAGTTTTATGTACTCTAACCATAAAAAGTCTGAATTGCCTTATTGCCTTTCCAATCACATGAAATCTCTCTCTCGACTATTATCCTCAGGCCTCTTGGGGTAAGTCTATAGTGCAGCTCTCCGCGCCGGGACTCCCTAAGTGACATTCACCCTTCCATCACCCCCCTTGCCATTCTATACTCCTAGTTTGGGCCCTGCGCCATTCCTAGTCTTGGGGCCCCAGACACCTGGGGAACCAATACTGCTTCCTGATCCTTCTCACCCAGAGCAACTCAGTCCCTTTCTTGGGCTCCAGGAGCACCGCTTCTGGTCCTGGCCCTGCCCTCATCTCCCTCTACTTCCCTGGTCCTGCAACACCCGCCAGCCTCTTTCTGGGGCTGACAGCCTCTTTCTGGGGCTCTGAGGCTTACCTTTACTCTCCCTGATCCTTTGCATCCAGTACAACCCAGCTACTCAATCCACTCCCTGGGAAATCTTGGGGCTTCTTCCCTCCCCATCTGCCTTTGCATCCCTGCGTGGCACGGCCACGGCCAGGGACTCAGGTCAGTGCCACCCAAATTCCTGAGGCCAAAAGCATCCTTAGAAGATTCCAGACCTAAGGAGAAAGTCTGAAAACTTCTGATCCACATTGGAGTTGGGCCACCGCGGAACTCCTGAAGACAAAAACAATCCGGCCTCAACAATATAAAATCAAAAGAAAGAACCAGAAGCTTAGACGAACCAGCTCTTCATACCCAAAAAGTAAACCACAAAGACACATAAAGCTCAAAAATAAAAGAAGCAGAACTAAACTTGAAGGCCCGAGTATCACACAAGAGTCAGAAACTACAAAAGAAATTCACATGTCAAAATCACAGAGAAAAAATAATAACATGAAAAACCAAAATAAAATATCCCCACCAAATACCAGTAATCCTCTAGAGGAGCACAATGAGAATCCCCTAGAGACAATCATGGAACTCAAAAGAACAATGATGAATATGAAAAAAAGAATTCAGTGAATTTAAAGAACACACAAACAAGGTAATCATAGAGCTGAAGGAAGATAGGGATAAACTTCTGAATGAATTCAGAAAAGAGCGAGAAATATTGAAGAATACTCAGGCTGAAATAAAGAACGAAGTGAAACACTCCATAAGCCAATTAGAAAAGAGCTGAAATGAAGAAGGAAGTGAAACACTCAGTAAGCCAATTAGAAATGACAGGAGAAAGC